GCTGGAGGAGGTGGCTGGGGAGAGGGAGGTCTGGGCCTCTTTGCTTAGGCTGCTGCCCCCACGGCCCGGTCTCGGATAAAGCGGATGAAGATGGATGGATGGATGGATGGAAGTGTTGCTGCGAAGGTAAAAATGTCTTTTTCCCCAGTCAATATGTGTCAGTGACTAAGATATGGCTTTTACCTGGAGGTAGGTAGGAACAGGTGCCCGAGGAGTTGACCAAAATGTTGGTACGGAACGTAGCATCGAACCTTTCGTCCGCACTGTAGACAACATGGAACAATTCCAGCATTTAATGTTGAGTTATTTGCCACCAGTATTATTTCAGTGGAAGTTACCTGAGCAGATTCATCCTGAATTTTTGGAACAATATCTCAGAATTATATGAATACAATATTAACTTGTATATTAATTCGTATAAGCCACAAAGCGAGGAGGGGCAGTTGTGGTAGGAATATATAAATAATTCTCTAAGTCATTATTTCTGCAGATACACAACAAACAAGGAGTCACATCTCATGCAAACCTTCCCAGGAGATGAGTATTTAGTTGTTACCCTGCTACCCACAATGCACTCCATCTAAATAAATTCCCAAAGGCTGGGGCACGGTTGAGCTAAAGTTGAATAAAGAAAATGGCATTCATATGAAGTACAATGCTCTCTCTCTCTTATTAGCTGCCAGGGGAGTAAAGTACCTTTAATGTATTTTGTTCAGATGTTCTAGAGATTGATTAATGGTGATCGCTATAGCTTTATTTCATTTGGGACATATAATGAAATGCTCTTCCTACCATTTCTATACAATTTTATTCATTTGTCTAAATGATTTATTGCAAAGTGCTTTTCTAGCTTTTTACTTAAAGTGCACAGCTCCCCTATCCTTGAAGTGTAATATCCCAGCCGTGTAACCAACCTACCAATAAGATAAGAAGATAAAGTTGAAATCTTTTATTTGCCATTTGTACACATACACTGGGTGTGGGTACTCAGGAAATCTTGTGCAGAGCTTAGAGCCAGAGGGGAAAAAATGAAGATAAGAAAGAAAGAATATGTCAAATAATTTCAAGTATAAAACAGTAGTTTCTGTATTGCACTTACACTAAATGACTGTGGCACGGAAAAATATCACATGTTATTAAGATGTATATTGCACAGTAAAATGTGTATTGCACATAAGAATATATGTTACAGTGGATAAAGCCAAAATACACACAAATACTAACTAACTAACTAAAAAATATATTTGTGTGTATTTTAGTTAGCCTTTATTTTGTTTTTGACCTCAGTAGGACTGTGACAGCGAAAACTTCAAAAATGGCATTGGACTGCATTTTTATAACAGATGTATTTAAGCTGAGTTTCTCATTGCAAAGAAAAGGGATATAGTTTAATAGCAAAGCCCATCACCTGATCTCAACCCAGCACAGCATGCCTTTCAGTTACTTAAGACAACACTGACATCAGAGAGACCCACAACAGCCGGTGGCTGCAGTAAAAATCAGGCAGAGCCTGTCAAGGGAAGGAAATATCAAGTGCTGATGTCTATGTGTTCTGGACTTTAATGACTGTAGAGGATTTTCATCCAGGTATTTAAAACCATCCTGAATTTAAAATGATGTCAGTTTGCCCAATTAATTTTGAGTTTCTGAAAATGGCCATTCATTTAAAAAGCTATAACTCCTTAACAGTTAATGAGACACTCTGTTTTCCTCAATTCAATCGCGTATCATTCGATTTAAAATCAACTGTGTTGGTATACAGAGTTAAAATTACAAAAACAAAAAACAGAAAAGGACAAGGACCGAGCTGCATGTATCTTTAAATTCTCTGCTTGTCTGTCTCAGCAAGACAGTCATAATAATGCCTGTGGCAGCACGGGGTCTGATGCTTTCCAGAGCTCATGAGCAGAAGCCTGAACACAGTATCTTTTCACATGTTTCCACTTGAATACAGTTATTCTATTCAGGCACTCCCACTCTCTTTGGGAGCTATTTCATAGTAAACAAAACAGTCAGTAGTATACGCTCATATTACATTCTTATGTGTCCTTGTTTAATAAAATGTCTAAATGTTTGATGGGATATTTGTGCTGGTTGCGCCCAATCAGTTGTAGCCATCTCACTCTGCAGCTGGAAATCTGATGGTGCCAGGGTTACATTTTTAACAGCATACACACACATAGTGAACGTTTAGGTCAAAAAACAGATGACAGCCTGCCAAATACAGCAATGTTCGAACTGTAATTTGGGAGACAACAACATATATAAAGTTGGAGGCTATGATTAAATATACTTGTACTTAATGTCATGGTCCTGGGTCGGTCACCCAGCGTTTGAGTTTATTGTTATTATTTTCTAGTTCACTCTGATTTTGTATTCTGTTAAACAGTCTGGGAACTTGCTGTTTTACTTTGTAGATCCATGTGTGACTTCATTGTGTTCAACTTATGTCTCCCTGTCTCGTCATGTCAATTAGGTTCAGCTGTGCGTCCCTGCTGTGAGTCATTTCCTGATTACTTTGTATAGTGTTTGTCTGCCTGCTCGTCTGCATTTGATGGTGTTTTGTTCATCACTCTGCATCTCTCGTCATGTTTTCAGGGTTGTCTTTAGTTTTCCCAGTGTAGGTTTTGGTAGCTTTTCGTTCCTCATTCCCTGTTTTGCCACTTTGGTCACTTAAATAAACGCTCACTCGCATCATAACCTTTGCCTGCATTTTGGATCCTTTTCTACACAAACACCACACCGTGACACTTAATACCATAAAAATAGGAGGTGTTAAAAATATTACCAGCTATTTATGTTTAATTTAGTAACAAGTTTAAATTTCAAGTTTACTCACAGAACATCCAAAAATTACAAAATTTTACAGGTACCTATATTAACATTTTGTTCATACCAAAGATATGCTAAAGATTATACAGTATTCATTGGATTTTGTATCTCCTGTACATCACATCCTTCAAAACGAATATAGTAGAGGATGAGGCACAACAGTTTTCTTTATTCGCCATTTTTAAACCACAAGATATTGTTTACAATATTTGGTCTTTAGTGTATCACAGACAGCGTGACTGCAAACAACCTTGTTTAACCTCTGGAGCACCAAAATCTAAAAATGCATCACATCCCTCTGAGATCCCTGTGCGTTATGTAGAAGAAAATGCATGCACACTAATACTTACTTAGGCTTCTTGGGGAATCTATATTGTAACCAGAAACCCCTTTTAACCATACACGGTAATCTTCCACTAACCTGACGTGCACATCCAGAGAAATGTAACTACTCTTCAGGTCGATAGAGTCTGTAGAGACTGAATTTCATGGAAGCGTACGGGTTAAAAGTAGCTTCCCTCTATGTTGTAAGTTATGATGTAGATTTGCTGCAGAGGTCTAAATCAGGCATAAATCTAACACCATGTACAACTACAGTTTACAACCCAGCAGATCAGTGCCTACCTGTTATACAGCAGAATGTCTGGTTTCCAAATGAGATGGTCAGGAAATCTCACATTGGACACACCTGGATAATCCAATGGATTCCACTGGAGGTAATAGTCAGTCCAGTACTGCAAAATGCAAACACATTTGACACCTTGACTTTCACATTCCACTTACTTATTTTTAATACATTTAAAGGCCTATGGGCTTATTAAGCCTTTTTAGAGGCTCGGGGATTTAACACGGTTTCCTCGTAGCAGTGACAGTTACTATAAAAGCCAAAATAAATGTATGTGACAACATCACAGAGTGACATGGAACAAGAATGAGACTTGATTTCTGTCTGGAAGGTTTTCTGTTCAGAAAAAATGCTGCTAAGCGCATTTGAAATGTCGACATAATTGGAAAACTCAGAGGATGATTACAGTTCCATCTTGTAGCTGTTGAGACATTTCAACCCAAAATGTCAGAAGATTATTATATTTCAGTTATAATAAGCACAAGTACTGTTTAAAGGGCTCTTAATACCTGCTTTCTGTGACATCAGACCTGGCCTGAGATTTAACGTGGTTGTGGTGATGGTGCCTTGGCCAGGCTGAAGATATGAGTTTACAGTTGTGTTGGTCTTTACTGCAATGTCTATTATATGTGACTACAGAGGCTGAAAGACTCCAGGATTATGCAGGTGGTGCTGTATATGGGTGAGGCAGGCTGTTAAACTTTTAAACTAAATTTTGGTACTTAGTAGATACTTGGTTTACACACTGTAGGAGATACAGTGTCTATTCATTTATAGACAGTATATATGTAAATATCAGAATGTATAATTAAAATGGATAAATATGATGAGCTAAATAGCTTAGTAATTAATAAGCATTTGATTCCTTTTACTCCATTTCTAACTGAACATTGTCAATATTTTTCATCTTGTGAATATGATGGCTTTCATTTATTTCATGTTAATTTTTTACAAAGGTGCTTCAACAAGCATTTAGCATTTTTATAATATATTTTTAGTTTTTTAAGAAATTTAGACCGTTTTTTTTTTTTATAGATTTTTTAATCAATTTGTGAGAATTTTAAGCTTTCTTCCACTTGTCATTATGAGGTATGGTGTGTAGAATTGTGAGGTGAAAAATGAATCTGATCCATTTTGGAAAAAGGCTGTAACATGAAAACATGTGGAACAAGTGAAGTGGCGTGCATAGTAATGTTAGAAGTTTATGCCTTTGCTTTATCATTCATATGCATCTGGCTCTTATCTGTGCACACGTGGTTTTACATCTTTAGTTTATTTGATTGTCTGCCTGGAACTGCAGGAACAGCAGGAACTGCAAAACAAAACCGAGTCTGTACTAAATCTGACCCTAACTAAGTGGAACTAAGCGGTTAAATTAATTAATGTTCATTCCCTTTTCAGATAAAACATATTTTGCACTAGAAAAATGCGCCTGAATTTTGGAATATCCTTTCCTTTAATGGCAGCATATAGTTTAAGTAGTATGAATTCCAGATGTTTCTGAAAAATCTGATAATCTAAAGCCAAACTGTGGGTTACACAGCCCTGGGTACAAATGTAACGGGACAAAACAATATAAGGCACAAGAATGACTTTTGTATTACAGATTATTTTCTTAAAACACACTGTGAAGTGTGGAGTAAGTGCATATGAGAGCATGAGGGTGGGAATGGATGTTTGTATCTGTGTGTGCCTGTATGTCTGTGTCTATATGTCAGGTTGGGTATCAGACGCCACCTCTCTGGGGACATCTCAGGCCCTCCAAGGTTTGGAGGCCTATCTCCCCCTACCACCACTTCCCCTGCCAGTGGCGGACTCCCTCAGACATCGGTGCGTTGGTGGTTCTTTGTGTCCGGGGATGGGCGTCCAGGTACACACCGGCTCACTCCTTGGCGGCCGCTTATCGGGGCCTGGAGCCTGGGGCTCGCTCGGGCCACTTCGGAGGTGGGGTGCCCCCGGCCTCTCGGCCTGGGGCTCGGTCACTCAGGCACGGCTGGCTGCCGGCGGAGCTCACGGGCGCGTCACTGCAACTCCCCCTGGTTTCTGCTCCGCGGCTGCTGAGTGAGCCCTCATCTGGGACTCTCCTCAGCTCTTTCTGGGACAGTGGCGCGGCTGCCCCTCTGTTGGTCTTCCTTGGTCTCTTGTGTTCTGGGGGCCTCTGGATGTCTGGAGTTTTGATCTCCTCCATACCTGCTTCATGCCCTGGAGGACGGGGCTGTGGCCCCCCCACACCCTCTAGCAGATCATTACATGAAGGAACCTTTTAAAAAAAACAAGCGCGTCCATGCTCACAGGTGTACACACGGGTGATCACACCCACAAACTACACCCTTTTTGGCTCCTACCTCAAAGCACACTGTGTTCTGTTGATCTTATGTGCTGCACAATAATGTTTAATATTTAGTATTTACTGTCATATTCCCATATATCATTGTGATGTTGTTTATTCTATTACTCTTGTTCTCTTCTGCTTGTTTTCTTTTTTCTTTCTCAGCAGGTGACCAGGTGACTGATATATGCATTTTTTTTCTTTTCTTTTTCTGCTCATTCTGTTGGTTTTTGTTTTTGCCCTTCTCCCCCGTCCCTCTTCTCAGCTGTTTCTCTTTCCCTCTTTCTTTCTCCCCTTCTTTCCCCCAGTCAAGTCTGTCCCGTATTCAGTAAGTGAAAATAAAATAAACAATAAAAGGTGAATCAAATGGACCATTACGGCAAGGCTGGGATGGTCAATTTGGTAAAGTAAATCCGTTGGGCATCTTTCTTTGCCTTTAGACAACAATTCTGATGCAAAAGAGCCAAACGGGACAGGCAAAAAAAAAAAAAAACAAAAAAAAAACCAAAACCACACTGTGAATGGCATCTATCCCTGAGGATGAATGAAGGTACTGATTACACATAATGTTTAAAATGAAGCTCCAGAATTTCTTTTAAAATATAAATATGAATAGAAAGGTGAATATTTCACTGAATACAAAACTCCAACTCCAGGTCCACAGCCGTGGTGATATGTATGAACACATACTGTGAAGACACTTCTCTTGATTACATGGCTTTCATAAGGAGTTTTCTAATCCAATCTATAATTCACTTTTAATTAACTCAAAGTGCCATGTTCAAGTTCCCAGTATAATGAACCATAAAGGTCAGTTAATGATAAAGGCAAAGGAAAACAAACTGAGGAAGGATATAATTGCCTGTGCATCTCACATGGTGATTTTGGAAAATGGCATTTCCACAGCCAGGGAACCTTCTTTAATTTGCATCACTGTTTAACAAAAAACTTTCCACCTACTTTTTAATCTTTACAACAAGTCTTTCATTCATTTAACATCTACAAAGCTTGCTGATCTATTATTTCATTTGAAAAATAACTGACCAGACGTAACTCTACTCTCCGTTTTGTGCTTTATGTGTAAACGACTATGCAAATTTGTCCATGTCTCATGCCTAATCTTGCCAGCAGGCTTAAATGTAGCCCTGTGTCTTAAGACAGCTGGTATTACATGAAACACAGCACTGCACAAGAGTATGAGGGCATAATCGTGCTTAATAATCAAAATACTTGTGTACTAAATTATCTTCACTGGGTGTATCGAAGAGGTCATCCAGTTTGTTGGGCATTGTAAGATATATAGTACAATTACCCAGTGGCACTGATGGATGAATCTTAAAGAATCCTTCTCAGTATTTCAAAGTCGTATATGTAGCAATGTATACATCTTGTATGCATCTTTATGACATTTTCCCTTTTTTCCCCCTTTTACTTTTCTCAAAACCTACGCAAGTAAAATAATCCAACAGATGCTGGATTGATGCTAAAACAAAGTACACTGTGGATGCTGTCGGCGCGATCATGTGCCTAAGAGCTAAAATGAATTTTGCAGGGAGCAGAAGGAGAGAGAGTGAACAAAACTCCCGCTGCGATGCCCCAGAATGATTTAAAACAGACCAAACAGCCTTGGTTCAGCCTTGGTAGAGCTGCTGACGATGCAGCAACAGGGATCTATTGTCACTGTATGGACAAGCTGTAATAAAGCATCTGCGTTAATACACTTCATCTCACTGCATGAAGGACAAAGTGCTGTACTGCCCGTGTGGAAGACGAATAGAAAGTCTGGGTAGCACTATGCGTGAGTTACACAATTCATTTCATCACATGCTCACAATATGATAAATCTCTTTGTGGTACATGTTTGCATAAACTAAATACCAGATCAAATGCCAAAAGTAAAGGTACAATGTAACACTTAGGTGAAAATGGTCTTAGAGTTAACTGAGAGGATTTATATAAAACAGATGGCTCTGTGATTAAAATGCATGATGTGTGTAAGTGCGGCCGTAAAGCTTCGCAACTCAGCTTTTCTGTGACTTTACATAAATTATACTTACCAGCTGTAGCCAAATGTTGGTTGTTAAAACCTGGTTCTTCTCATCCTGTTAGAAAAACAGAATTATTCATGTTTGTAATTAAGTACATTTATTTTACTTTTTTCTTTTTGATTTTTTTAAATGAAGTGCATGCTTCATAAATGGGAAATCACCCTACTAGAAATGTACAAATCCACAGAGGCGTCAGTTTTTAAACCTTTTATAATGCCTCACTCACACTAGAGAAAACAATGTTTGTAGACTGTGGCAAAATCAAAACTGCTGCATCAGTATGCACTGAATTTGGGATCTTGCTGTTTTTGGAATAGTTGCTTCAATGATGGGGATCAGGTCTGTCATCTTTAAATATATGAAAATTGCTTACATAACCATGCATGACTTATCACTTTACTGGCATGTACAGTATATGTAGTAGACTACTGTGTAGTATGTATAAACAGCTGTGTTTAATGGGCAATCATTTACGCACCACATCCATTATTTGCATGAGGGTGAGGCCGAAGGAAACAATGAGACTCTGAGAGTCATTCTGGACTGGTCTCACTAGTGGGTTGTATCCATTCATCAGGTCACTGTACAGTCTGCGCTGGTTTGGCCCTTGATGAGAAACTACAGAAAAAAGAGAAACAGGTAACCAGGACTCCAAAGAACAATTAATAAGTAAAATAAATTATAATTTTAAGCAAGAAAGACATTGTTAGTCACATCAAATCATTCCTTAACTTCCAGCAGCCATATTGCAAAACAATTCACTATGCAGTATTTTACATCGTAGAATATGAAGTGTGAACAGTTATTTTTTTAGATGTTACTAAAACCTGAGTAAAAACAGTGATATTTCTAATATGCTGAAGTTCAGACAGCGACGCTAATTTATATCAAACATCAAGTACACACTTCTTTGCGTATTGTGCAAACTGAAATAAGGATCCCGTGCAATGTGAAATGCACAAAAGTCATGTTCATTTATTAAACATTATAAACTCTAATGTGGCTGACAAAAAAGAAGTAAATAAATAAAAACATGACCTACAGCCTGTCTGTAGCTTTCTTTTCTACTTTACACACTGAGTTGCCTCCACCCTACACACACACGCACACAACTGTAATGAGAAGGAGCCCCACCAAGTAACACTGCTACACTGTACCTTCACATGCAAGAAGAAGAAGAACGTCTGCACCGATCTACGGGACAATCCATCCAACAGCTGTTGACATCTTCTAGTCTGGACTGGTGTGACAAGACTGACACACAACCACTGCCCTTAGATACGCAATGCTGCCGTGGCTCAAATGATCAATAAAACAATTTATTTGAAGTGAAGTTTACATATATTTGTGGATGAGACTGAGACAGCTAATTGAATTTAACTCAGCCTCTCCACTCTCCTGCAGCCTTTTACATCTTCCCCTTTTGCAGCCACTCACTACTACTCCACTTCTGTTCTGGGTCAGTCTCACTGCGTGGTGCTGATCCACCTCCTGCTTCATTCAAGTTGTAAATCTCGCACTTTAGAATAATTTTGCAATTGATTTAATGCATCTAAAGTTGGTGTTGGAGTTATCAACATTACCTGGGGTGGTGAAACAAATGCAGCCCAGACATGGCAATCTTTCAAATGCCATATTTGGACATGATTCATCTCCCAATCTCAAATCAGACCCGTCCCTCATTTTAACACACTCTTAGTTCCTCTCCTGAGTTATGGAGCGTTTTTGGCAGCATTTCTTCACTTCACTAATGGCCCAGTTTTCCTAAACCTCCTATGAGAAGCACATTATCCTGATGGATTGGCACAGAGCATACTGTCTATCTGCATATCCCTATTCCTCTGTTCTCTGTTGCATCCACTTCTTTCATTAAAAAAAAGGTTAGCTGAAAGCTTGTCTTTGTCCATATCCCAAGTGGATATCCCCCCACTCCTGATCTCACCGTAATCAAATTTCAATGCAAGGTGACATTAATGTGTTGTATTGTCCACATACTGTTATACACCCCAGTACCATGCTGTCCGAAAAACCACAGCGGGTCCACGAGAAATGAGCTTGGAGCCATAAAAGGGAGAAGGAAAGTCTCTCAACCTCTTAATCAAATTTATCAGCCTTAGTAATATCAAAGGGCTGGACAGGGCCTATAAGTACTCCAGACATGCCCTGACATTTATATGTGCATGCACCGTATGCACACACACCAACAACACTTGCTTCGCTCTCAAAGAAACCTTCATTAACCCCTGGCTGTAAAGTGCACACTAAAGAGCCCCAGTCAGTGATTATTATTAAATGAATTGCCTCAATTAAAATATTCAGACTCAGAGCAGATTTGAGTAAAACCGATGAGAAGCAGTATTCAATTAGAATAAAACATAAAGCATTGAAGATTTTGCACGGTTTGCTTATTTCCCTGTAGAAGGACCAGAGCCAGGATATGATGGCAATATCTTGTGAAAGAAAAAAGACTGTTATTCTGTTTTGTTTTTTTAAACATAGAAGCATCTGTCCAGTCACTGTTTGCCCCAATCTCTTTATCACTCATAAACCACAATATTAGAAATGCTGTGATCTTGCAGCTCTTTTTATTCATTTTGCATAATTTTTTTTCTAGTTACATCACGAGAAACCACACAGTTCAACAGCAAAAGAAAGTTCAGAGCTGACAGACAAATCAGCCACACGTAACATGTAGTATAAGACATTATAACATGTTTGTTCTCTGCAAGCTGCATATCGGACCTTACTTTAGTATAGTAATATTACTTCATAGCTTCTGAACCCATGAAAAACACACTTAATATCAAATACTAATAATGATGACTATAACTACAGTCACACCGAATCATTTGCACACGCACGCACGCACACACACACACACACACACACAACACTTTCATATGATTGCTAAGGCATCTAGACCAAAAGTGTCTGAAACTCAGTGTTTGGCACAACAGGTCTGCAATCTCAGCTAGGGAACCGCTAAAATCAATCCACAGCGGAGCAAGGTTGAACGCACATTAACACGTCTCGTTCAATAACACACACACAAAAATTCTATTACTCCTAATTATTTAAACAATAATTGTTATTTTTAACATGCATGGCGCGCGATAGAGTTAATTAGCCAAATGAAATGCATGCAGACTGCCTACCTTTCACTGTGCAGGCGGTGACTGCAATAGAAAGCAGAAAATTGACTAAGTCCATGTTGAAACGCGTGAGGAGTGAAAACAGAAAGACTCTTCTGGATGCAGGAACGGGAGCGATAACACTGTGGGGCGGTGTGAGTGTGAGATGAGAGGGAATTCTGCCAATAAATAACTCCTCCTCCCAATGAAGAGCCGCTGTTTGGCAGCCCATTAATGATTTAAGCTGAAGGATCAAAACTTTCTGCCCACAGTAGAATTTTTTATCCTTACCTTTAACATATTTTGCGGTGAACATTTTTGACTTTCAACACTGTTGACTGGATCTCCGTGTCCCCTTTCTGTTTTTTTGCGCATTTTAAACTACACAAATGACTAAATAGGCTACACTAAATCTATTGAGTTTATATAATTTATATTTCGTTTAAATATATTGTGGTTTTATATCAACCCACACTACCTCTTGCGTAACCTTTTCAGTCAAAAGCACGAGGACGCGTCTGCGTAACTAGAGGCCATCTACTGGTCTGTAAAAACCACTACAATTATATTGCAGTTGTGGGATGGAGTCTGTTTAATTATCAGTTTAATGTTGCAAACACTGTACAGATTGTTTTTAATTTACCCCTATTTTAAATTCCTACACACAGAATGTGTTTAACATATCATTAAGACACACCAAGTAACTCATGCTGCTTTAGGATAGAAACTCTAACAGGGGTGGGCAATGAATTGTCCCAAGGGGCCAAATGAGTAATTGGGAGTTTTGTGAAGGGCCAAAACAATAAGCTGAGTTCTTCTCAATATAGATTTGACCTCCTTACAAGGTTATGGGTATGGGCCTCCATAACAATCCCGGTTTCTCATGTGGCTCCTTGGGAAAATGTATTACCAACCTACCTCATTTATTTTAAAATTTCAGATGAGTAATAAAAGTAATATAA